TCAAAGAGTATTTTTGAGACTAAAGTAATTATTAATTACACTATTATTTATATATTTATTGTTATAAATATATCCACTCATTGTGTTGTTTTCATATCGCATAGCAAGACATCGATTACGATGCCATTGAAAGGCTTGAATACCTAAATGCCTGTCTTAATGAAACCCTACGTCTGTTTGCACCGGCTTTGGCACTGGAAAGGGAGGCTTCAGAAGACATTACTTTGACTGGTGATGGAGGCCCTGATGATTACATCAAGGTCTTTAAGGGTGATATGGTTCAAATACTTGTATCTCAATTACATAAAGACCCGGAACAGTTCAATGATCCAGAAAAGTTTGAACCGGATAGATTTTTACCACAAAATATTTCACACCATCCCTACTCATACCTGCCGTTTGGCGCCGGACCTCGTAATTGTGTGGCCAAACGCTTGGCACTAATGGAGGCAAAGTTGGCTATACTTTACTCCGTATATAATTATCGGTTTGAAATATGCGACAAAACTTCGGTTTGTATTCATTGATAAAATATATTGTATTTTAACTAATTTTGTAATTCCTATTCACTGTCATAGCGTCCGCCCAAACGATACAACAATTTGGGATTAATTGTACCAAAAGAGGTTGTGTTGAGAGCTGTAAAACGCGTTCATTAAATATCTTTATGATTTTCATCATTGGTTAAATTTTTAATTCAGTTGTTTATTAATTATTAATATTAGAATAAATGTACATTTTATTGCAATAACATGTAGAGTTATTATTTATCTAATTGTAAATCATGTAATTTGTATTTGTGTACTATTCTAGCAAATGCTTAATTATCATTCTAAATAAATATAATGAAAATCAATAAATAACAATTTATTGAATAATACATAATAATTAATTTATTGAATGTGATTGAAACTTTTAAATATCAAGTTTTGCAAACCTATTAATAAAAAGTAATTCATTCAAATGCTATTCAATACATCAATTCTTTAGTTTCAATTTGGTGTCAAAAAATTATTAAATTAATCTTAAGAAGTGGTGAATAATTGAACCAAAAAAGAAGATACAAAACAAAACACATCCAAACATTTCGTAATAATAAATTCAAGGATAATGTTATTAACTATCAGTTCTGTAGACAACTGTAATGTATAAACATTACTTGAGAACCCAATGAACGAACCCAATGTACTACAGTCTATAATAGGGCAACACTGACAACAACAATAAAGTTTCAAGGATAATGTCATTTTAACTACCAGTATATAAACAGTAGAAATAATTGGTAACTTTAAAAATTGTAAACACATGGTTGTTTTCTCATTTGTTTCATTTGATTGTATTATAAATTTCCATTACGTTATATTATTGTTATTTGTAATTATGTTATTTAATTAACTGCAAGTTTATAATTTTACATTTGGATAATAATTAGAAACTAGAAACAAGTGCTGTATACTGTATCTGGAAAATATATGTTGTAATATTTGGATATAATAATGGATATAATATTTACTACTTTAACAGAGTTTTTGACAACAAATTATTTAATCGCTATAACAGTCATTGGAATCGTATATTTAATAATCAAGTAATTACTTACTTTATTTATTTAATTCATTTATTAATAATTGTTTAAAATATAATTTACAGATACTATCGGCGGGACAATAGCCAGCAGTGGAAGGATAGGAATATAAAGCCGGGAAATCCCAATTCACTCTATCAGTTGGTCTGGAAAAAACGATTTCCCGAAGAATTATATCGTTATGGAGACAAAAAATATGGTAAATTGTACGGCTTTAACGGGTTGGGCACCACAACTATCGTATGCGCCCGAACTGACTTCATAAGTCAAGTGCTCAGCAAAGAGTTTGCAACTTTTAATCAGAGACGGGTGAGTAAAACATTAACAATATAGTTAAACAATACATTATTGATTTATTAATTGTATATTTTTACTATAAATAATATCCCAATAAAGAGTATGGGATCCTCAGGAGGAGACCCCATAATGGATAACATGTTACACGTAGTGATGGGCGACCAATGGAAACGCCTGCGGGCTATAGTGTCGCCCACTTTCTCGACCGGAAAGTTACGCAAAATGCGGCCTTTGATTGACGACTGTTTGCAAACATTAGTTACAAATATTGGCAAAATGTCGGCCAATAGTGACCACTCGGTGGACATGAAAACAATTTACGGCGCGTATACTATGGAAGTGATAATACAAGTGGCGTTTGGGACAAAAGTGGACGCACTTATTGACGACAAGAACCCCATTATATTGAATGCCAAAGAATTAATGGCCAACTTTTCTGTCAGCAAATTGCCGAGGATTATGCTTATTATGTTATTGCCTAAATTGGCTAAGCTTTTAGGCCTACAATTATTTCCTCGACATATTCTCGCATTTTTTGCTGATTTCGTTCATAAGATAATCGCTGAGCGCCGCAGCCGTAAGGCATCAGATGGTGACAAGAGATATGACTTTTTGCAACTTTTATTGGACGCAAACGAACGAAATAATGAGGAAAATAGTGATGAAACTCACAAACAGGAAACTACTACTGAATCGGATGTGTTATCTGAGGAACAAAAATATTTACTAAATTTAACTAAATTAGACCAGAATTATGCAAATTTTTGTGAATATTTTGTTGATTGTTGTGTTAGTAATCCATTTGAACAATAATATGAGTGATTTAATTGAAAAACAAATAATTAAACCTTATTTAAGTGCAAAAGGCATTAAATGCCTCATTAATAACACTCGATCTCTACATAAAAATTTCGATGTTTTCAACACAATTGTGACCGAAATGAGACCAGACATTGTGTGCGTGACCGAGACCTGGCTCACTGACCACATCCAAGACATCGAGACAAACATTAATGGCTATAATATTGTCCGCAATGATCGAGTGGACCGCAAAGGAGGTGGTGTTTGTGTATATTATAATAACACGAAACTAATCGCTAATATCGTTGAATATGAGACTAATCAGGAAATATTGATATTAGATGTCAAGCAATTTAATGCTAAATCATTCAAATTGTGTGTCATTTACAGACCTCCCGGACCTGACAGTGAGTTTTGCAGTTTTTTCGAAGAGTTTCTGCAAAAGTATTCAAATGAAGAGTTGATAATAACGGGTGACATAAATATCGATCTCCAGAAAAGTGATACTAAATATGAGAAGATATACTCAGATAAGGGTTTCACACAATTAGTTACCGAACCGACTCGTACTACAGTCACAACCAATACAATCATTGACCACATATTGACAAACAATACGCAAAACATCTCTGGTTGTGGTGTATTAGACCTCACTGTAAGTGATCATAAGTTTGTGTTCTTTTGCCGTAAACTTAATTATGATAAAAATGGCAAATCAATGGTAAAAACTGTGAAGTTTAGAGACTATTCAAAGATCACATTAAAAAATCTCTACGAATTATTAGACAATTCTACACCACTTTTATATAATAACACATCACTTAATAGCAACAAATTTTGTGAACAA